TACCATGTGTTTTTGAAGGTTTTATGTTAACATGTTGAAATTCCCAAGTGTTTTTGGACCCTGACGTCACGATCTGCGTGAGGGGTGCCACCGATTTTCAGAATTTCGAGGATGTCCCGAGCGAAACGCCCAGAAACATCGCGAACGCGTGCGCATTAATCGCCTCTGAGCTCTACTCCCTCGGAGAGGTGCGTATGAGAATATATATATATATATATATATATATGTATTTATTTATCTGTCATCGTGCCCCCTGGCACGTTGAGGCGTCGTAGAATGCCAAGGGCTGTCTGGCAGGGAGTCTGTATTCTTCTAAGGCGCCCCCCCAGTTCTACTCGCAGAGAGCCGCATGCAGCGCCCCCCGCCTCGGGAGGCCCCAAGCCGTCCCAAGATTGCCTCATGACGGCCCAAGACGCCTCCGAGAGGGTCACAAGATGGCCCCAAACAGAGTCCGAAGAAGCCAGAACTATTGATTCGCAGTGGGTCTTTGACAGATTTTCGCTCTCCCCCAATTTCGGGCTTGCGTCCGTTCAAGACGGCCCAAGATGCCCCCAAGAGAGACCCAAGATGGCAGAGGAGGATTTCGTGAGAGGCATCCAAGACGGGCCCCAACATAGCCTAAGAGGACATCGGGAGGGACCCAAGACGGCTTTAGGAGGTGCTTCGATGGTCCAAGACGGTCCCACGACGGCCCCCAGACACACACTCCATTCGGCCAAGAGGGCCCCAAGACGGCCAAGACGGCCCAAGAGAGCTCTAAGACGTCCTAAGAAGCCCCCAAAGACCGCCCCTTGGGACGCCCAAGACTGCCCCACAGGAGCCCAAGACAGCCCCAAGACGGCCCGAATGAGCTCCACGAGAGCTCCTCAAGAAGTAAAAACGAAAGGTGTCACATGTGACGGCCCTTCTCTTCCTCCTCTTCCTCCTCCTCCTCCTCCTCCTCCTCTTGCTACTTCCCCTCCTTGTCATCATCATCGTTTCCACCATCCTCTTCCTCCTCTTCCTCCTCCTCCAACTGATCCTCCTCCTCCTCCTCCTCCTCCTCCTCATCTTTATCATGGTTCTCCCAATCCAAGGGACGCGAAATGTTACACGTGAAGGTCTCCCGTGCTCCCTCGAACAATCGCCACCGGGACTTTCCGAATGCAGTTGGACACATATTCAGATGTGGTGTACAGTAAAAAGACATGTGTGTAAATATACGTATATACGCATTACTGTACTCTGGGCGTGCCCAAACCTCGGACGCCGCTTTTCTCAAGACGTGCTCCCCAGACCTCTCGACCACTCCCCTGGGGACCAATTTGCCGCCCTGGGCCGCTGTTCGGCAGCCCCCAGGGGCTATGGTTGCGCTCCGCTCGTTGAAAATAGAATAGGATCGGTGAAACTAGGTCTCGGCTACAGGCGGATTTTGAACGAAACGTAAAAAATGGTCGAACAATGCCCCAGCGTAGTCAAGGAATAATAGAAACATCGCCCCCATTTTTTTTTTTTGTTTTTTTAATTATTCTTGAATCTTCCTCCTGTAGAGGGACATGCCCGACGCAAGGCTAGGGGGGCAGCCTCCGGAAGCCGGACAAGAGACGTACCTCCGCCCCGAGGTTTCCGTCGAAGCGTCGGAGGCCTGGCCACGTCCACCACCCCTCCGCCCGCAAGAGAGGTGCGCACTCCAGATTTCGCAATAAAAGGGAGGGGGTCTGGACCCTCCAAGACAAGCCATTTCAGACCTCCCCCGTGGGAGAACCCTCCAGAACATCGTCCCCAGACCCCCCCAGGCCCTCCAAGATAACCTGGAAGAGACCCCCCCCGACATGAGACCCCCCTCCCTTTTCTTACGAACTCTGGAGCACACTCGCGCGCCCTTGCGCCGACCCTCGCTCCTCGTCGCGCTGCCGCGCCTCCAGAGCCGCCTGGGGGCACGCCCGCAGAGGGCACGGAGAGACGTGCACGGATGCACGACCGTAACGGTTTCGAGGACCTGTGCGATGCGCCACTGTCAGGGGGACGTAAGACCTGGGTACAGGGGACTCGGAAATCCCCGACGAGGTCGTCAAACAAATGACGAGGCCGAGCCTGCATTTTGACGAGGCCTCCCGCTGCAGACATCCCACGAAACTCCTACTCGTCAAAATCCGAGGCGCGGTCGTCAAAAAACGATGGCGAACCCGAGTCCTGGCAAACCCGGGTCTTACGCTCCCCCGACACTGACGGGGCCCTGGGACACAAGTAAACAGACACGAGTCCCCGCATTCCCTATATCTTCACACATTTTCTGGATTCTCGTCTTCCCCCCCGCTTCCAATATTTTTCTATACCTTCCCGGGGATCGACGATCAGTGTCTGTGTGTGTTTCCCCCCCCCCCCCCCTGAGCAACACATGAACATACACTCTCGGAGGTCCGCGCGGAGTTCTTGGACCGGCGCCGCAGCCCCCTGGCGGCGCCCCCGGCGCGGCCCCTGGCCGCGCTCCAAGGCGCCAGGAAGGGGGGCCCAGCGCCGCTCCAAGAGATCCGCGCGGGCCGACGGACACTGACATGTACACCCTGCGAAATGCTTAAGAAATCATGGGTTAAGAAATTCAGAGTCTCAGAACTTGGATAAAAACCCAACATTTCCATTGAAATCTTAGGATTCACATTGAAACATTAAGAATAATCAAGACTCTGGCCGAAAACCTGGGTATTCTTAAGCATCGCCTAGAGTGTACATGCCACGGCTTGCGTCTCGAGTGTTCTCCCAGACCCACACAGCGGCCGCTGTTCCGCAGGCGACGGCGCGTCCCAGATCAGCAGCGCCCGCGGCGGCGCCGACAGCGAATCGTGGACAAAATCTGCTGCCGGCTTTTATGCCCGCTCTTCGCGCTTCCATTTCGATCGTGCCGAGCCGAGGGGGGGGGGCTGGCTCTGGGGGAGGGGGACCTGTGCCTGGAGTCGGCGATAATTTGAGGGAGTTTCTGTGGAACTCACGTCATCCTCACCCCCGGCGCGAAGAGCACGAGTCCAGAGCGGCCTCCGGCACCGTTTCCGGACGGATCCGGACGGATCCGCTGGATCCGGGGACGAATCCCAACCCGGCGCCCTCGCCTGAGACATCCCCGCAAAACCGGCCCCGGGGGAGGTGCCCAGAGGAGCCCAGAGCGGCCTCTGGCACCGTTTCCGGACGGATCCGGACGGATCCGCTGGATCCGGGGACGAATCCCAAACCGGCGCCCTCGCCTGAGACATCCCCGCAAAACCGGCCCCGGGGGAGGTGCCCAGAGAAGCCCAGAGCGGCCTCCGGCACCGTTTCCGGACGGATCCGGACGGATCCGCTGGATCCGGGGACGAATCCCAAACCGGCGCCCTCGCCTCAGACATCCCCGGAAAACCGGCCCCGGGGGAGGTGCCCAGAGGAGCCCAGAGCGGCCTCCGGCACCGTTTCCGGACGGATCCGGACGGATCCGCTGGATCCGGGGACGAATCCCAAACCGGCGCCCTCGCCTGAGACATCCCCGCAAAACCGGCCCCGGGGGAGGTGCCCACCGACAGATCCGCGATAGGCACCCGATGGCGAAACCGGCCGCTCCTGGGCGGGGCGGGCCGTCGGGCCCCTGTCGGCGATCCACTGGCGATTGGGGGTCGATGCGCCCCCCCCCCTCCTCCTCCTCCTCCCCTCCTCCTCCCCTCTCCCTCCTGCTCCTCCTCCTCCTCCCTCCTCATCTCCTCCCTCCTCATCCTCCTCCTCCTCCTCCTCCTCCTCCTCCTCGTCCTCCTCCTCCCCCCTTGAGCCTCCCCCCCCTGCCATGGCCCCTTCTGGTTTTCGGGCCAGAGCTCGGCTCTCCGGCGGCCGCTCGGGGCGATCTGGGCATCCCCGGAGCGCCTTCGACGAGCCGCGGCGGCTGGACTGCAGTCGGAGGCTGGAAAGCCGTCGAGAACAGGCGAGGAAGCCCGAAAACCTCGAACCCTGAGCCCATCCTACCCCAACGTTGCCCTTGGCCGCCTGGTGCCGCCGCAGCAGTCCCAGTCGGTCGCGCCGCCACTGCCGGTACACGGCGGAGCGCTGGTCGGCGACTCCGAAGGGTGCGGTTTGCAAAGGGTGTGGTTCGTAACCCACGCCTGGGGGGGGCGGGCGAGGACATCGACAGAGATCTCTGCCGCGCCCCGACGAGGGCTCAAACCTTTGGTGGAACATGGTGACCCCTGAGCCCCAACGGCGCCAATCGCAAACCACACCCCGGTGTATTGACCACAAGAAGCCTGCCACAAGAAACCCAACCCGTGAACCCCACGACGTCCCTTCATTTTTGGTGTGGGAACGTCGGACCCTCCACAGCAAAACCATAGAAACCCAAGAAACCCAGGGCACCCTGGAGGCAAGCAGTAGGGGAACGAAAAATGACATAAACATAACAACTCCATAGAAACCCAAGAAACCCAGGGCACCCTGGAGGCAAGCAGTAGGGGAACGAAAAATGACATAAACATAACAACTCGGAGGTCCGCGCGGATTTCTTGGATCCGCGCTGGACCCCCCCCCTCCCTGGCGCGCGCGCGCAAGGGCCGACGCCGGAGGCGCCGTCGGGGGGTCCAGGCGCGGATCCAAGAAATCCGCGCGGAGCGCCAACAGTTTATGTTTATGGCGTGTTTTCATCTTCGACTGGAGGCAAGCAGGGTGTTTCTTGGCATGGGTCTCCACTGTAACCACAACCTTCGCAGTCGCCGAGCTTGTCGGAGGCGAACTTCAGCGCGTCGCAGTGTGCCTCGTGGGCCTGCAGCTGCTCGCGGCTGAGGTGCGGGAACTCCAGCAGCAGCCTGCCGACGAGCAGGTCCCGGCCGCGGCCCTGGAACTGCTGCCGGACCTCGGCGAGTGGGAGGGAGGAGTAGGAGTAGGAGTAGGAGTAGGAGTAGGAGGAGAAGGAGGAGGAGGAGGAGGAGGAGGAGGAGGAGGAGGAGGAGGAGGAGGGGGAGGAGGCGGAGAGGCGGAGGAGGAGGAGGAGGAGGAGAGGAGGAGGAGTGGAGGGAGGAGGAGAGGAGGAGGAGGAGGAGGAGGAGGAGGAGGAGGAGGAGGAGGAGGAGGAGGAGGAGGAGGAGGAGGAGGAGGAGGAGGAGGAGGAGGAGGAGGAGGAGGAGGAGGAGGAGGAGGAGGAGGAGTAGAAGGAGGAGGATGAGTTGGAAGAGGAAGAAGACGACGGGGGGTGGGATGCGGGAGGACGGGGAAGGACTTGGGCCTCCAGGGCCCCAGTCGCCCGAGACACCCTCGGAGAGCGAATCGAGTCCCAAAACCGCGCGGTGACCCCGAATCCCCACGGACTCACCACACGGTGTGGTCATTGCATCATCCAAGGCCCCCCGAATGTGGCCGGCCGCGCCAATGATCGCATCCGGAAGCGATCTCATCGGGGCAAGGACGAAGGCGTGCCCGTGCCGATCCGCCCAGATCGGACATCATTTTTGCTCAACTAGCGGCTCTGCTTCGATCACGGTCTCTGGGGCTCTCTGTCGGGCCCGGGGGGGCCAGCAGAATCGAGTCTGTGGCGAAAAGCTGGCTCCAGAGGAGGGGGTTGGAAGCTCTGTGGCCGCGGACTCAGGACATCCGATCGGAGGATGTCCGGGGCGACCGCTCCCAGACGCGGCCTCACGGGGGCAAGGGCGGAAACGTGCCCGTGCCGATGCGTTTGGCCCAGCGTGTGGGCGGCTGCAGCTGCAGGAGTGCCAGGGGGGGCAGAGGCGAGCCCGCAGTGTGCAGGTCTGGGCGTCCCCCGCCCTGGCTGGCCGCAGCACAGGGCCGCAGTGGGCGGTGCCCTGCCCCGGGCAGTGCAGCTGGTCGGGCGGGGCCGCCCGTGTGTGGCCAGACCGAGCTGACCACCAGGCCGACGAGCGCTGCGGCCGGCGAGCGGCGAGCGCGAGGGGACGCGACCCTCGCGGGCCACGGGGCGCGAAGCTGCTTCTCTCGAGAGGGCGACGAGATCTGCCGTCATCCGCTGCCCCCCTGGCCTGGCCAGGGGCAGTGGACACGTACAGATCTCGCCGCCTGATCTCCACGCACCCCGGCCCTCGGAGCTGTCTCGCCTCGCGGCCTTGCAGCGCGGCGTGCCACCAGCGGCTCCTCGTGGCCCCCCCGGGAGCTCCACCGAAGGCCTCCGCGGCAGGGCCCGCACGCGCTCCCGCGCCCCTCTCGGCCCCCCCCTCTCACGTATTGGAGTAGGGAAACGGACAAGGACATGCGTAAAAAAAACTCGGAGGTCCGCACCTCAGGTGCCTCCTTGGCCGCACACTTCGGGCGCCGCACTGGCCCGCGCTCCGAGGGCCAGTGCAGCACACCTGGCGCTGGAAGTACCGATAGAAGAAGAAAACAGGCACGCCGTAAACATAAACTTTTGGCGCTCCGCGCGGATTTCTTGGATCCGCGCTGGAACCCCCTCCCTGGCGCGCGGAGCGCGCCAGGGGCGGCGCCGGAGGCGCCGCCGGGGGGGCCCGGCGCGGATCCAAGAAATCCGCGCGGAGCGCCAAACGTTTACATTTATGGCGTTTTGTCTTCCTCGAACCGAAGGGTCGGTTACGCACCAAGGTGACCCTACGGCAGGCTCGTATGGGACGACCTGGGCGTCGGCTTCTGACACCGCGTGGATCGCTCAATCTTCCGCGTTCGGCGGCTTTTCGATCGCCAGCTCGTTCTGTGTTCGCCGATCCTTGCCCACGGCGCTCCACCTCGAGCGCCCGCGCTGGGGTCGCAGCGCGTCCCCACGGCGCGAGCCTGCCGTGGGCAAGAGTGACCCTTGGTCCGCGGCGCTGCGGGCGCGCCGGGTGGGGCCAGACCCGAGCGCGCAAGCCGCCGCTGTCGCACCGCATCCAGCGATCGGGGCACCCTGGCGGGCCCGCACCGAAAGTCACTCGGACCCAGGGGCACCTTGAAGTGTACCTGGCTGTAGACAGCTGCCAGGCAAGCTTCCGCAGAGGTTGCCAGGCAGGGCACAGGAAAGGACCCACCCGCAGGAGCAGACTGCTTCGAGAGAGGGAGAGAGAGAGAGAGAGAGAGAGAGAGAGCCGTGCACCCCGAGCGCCCGGCGCACGCGAAGCGGAAGTTCGCCTCCTCGTCCCACCCGGAGCGCCTCCTGCGCAGCTCCGCGAGCTCCTCGTCCAGCTGGCCCAGCTCGCGCCGCACCTGCTCGCTCAGCCGCTCCAGCTCCTCCTGGAAGGCCTCGGGGCCGTCGCCTATGCGGTCCAGCAGCGTGTCCTCCTCGTCGCTGAGGTCGCACCGGTTCTCCTCGCTGTGCCGCTGCTCCACCGACCAAACGCCGTCACTCGTCAGCTCCCGTCGGATGGGCGCCCTCAGAGAGCCGCACTCCTCGAGAGGCGGAGGAGGAGGAGGAGGAGGAGGAGGAGGAGGAGGAGGAGGCGGAGGAGGAGGAAGAGGAGGAGGAGGAGGAGAAGGAGGAGGAGGAGGAGGAGGAGGAGGAGGAGGAGGAGGAGGAGGAGGAGGAGGAGGAGGAGGCGGAGGAGGAGGAGGAGGAGGAGGAGGAGAAGGAGGAGGAGGAGGAGGAGGAGACCCGGTGGGGCGAGGTCCGGCGTGCATCCCGGGGGGCTCCGTCTGCCCCCCACAAGGCCTGCTGGGGGTCTGCGCGAATCGGTGCAGGCTCTCGTCCTCCCCCGGCAGGCGGCCCAGTGTGGCGGCGCGCCCCCAGGGGGAAGCGAGAGGGGGCGGGCCTCCAGAAGGCGGCGGGGCTTCTCAGAAGCCCTTCGGCCCTCTAAGAAGCCGACGACGACGACGACGACGACGACGACGACGACGACGCGAACGCCGACGCCGACGCCGTCGCCGACGCCGTCGCCGACGACGACGCGACCGCCGCCGACGCCGCCGCCGCCACCGACGACGACGTCGACGACGACGACGCCGCCGACGCCTCCGACGCCGACGCCGACGCCGACGCCGACGCCGACGCCGACGTCGACGACGACGTGAACTCCGACGATGACGACGACGACGACGACGCCGACGCCGCCGCCGCCCTCCGCGCCCTTGCCAGGGCCGCGAGAAGCCTCCGAGGGCCTCCGAAGGCCTCCAGAGGCCTCCGAGGGCCTCCGGAGGCCTCCGAGGGCCTCTGGAGGCATCCGAAAGCCTCCTGAGGCCTCCGAGGGCTTCTGGAGGCCTCCGAGGGCCTCCGGAGGCCTCCGAGAGCCTTCGAAGACCCTCGCGAGGGCCTCCGAGGGCCTCCGAAGGCCTCCGAAAGCCTCCCGAGGGCCGCCGAAGGCCTTCCGAGGGCCGTCGAGTAGCTGCCCACCCTGCTGCTGCGGACGCTGTTACAAGAAATGCAACGTCGCGAAGCATCAAGACCGGAGCCCCGGACCACATGTTTCTGCGGTTTCTTGCGAGCCCGATCGATCCGTGATGGTCCCGCGGCGATCTGGGCGAAAACGGCCGGTGTAAAGAAAAATGCGACGCCTGGATCTCAGAGCTCGAGTGCGAAGGCGACGAGCTCGACGACGACGACGAGGAGCTCCTGCTCCAGCCGCGCGGCCTCGCTCGCCAACCCGCTGGCGCACCCGCCAAGCGCCCCAGAGATGCTGGCGAGCACCGCCTGCAGCTCGAGGGCCTGGTCTGGCGCCTCCGCGCGTCGGCTTTGTGCGCGCGTTTAGGGCTTGAGGAGGAGGAGGAGGAGGAGGAGGAGGAGGAGGAGGAGGAGGAGGAGGAAGACGAGGAGGAGGAGGAGGAGGAGGAGGAGGAGGAGGAGGAGGAGGAGGAGGAGAGGAGGAGGAGGAGGGGGAGGAGGAGGAGGAGGGAGGAGGAGGAATGGGAGGGGGAGGAGGGGGAGGCGGAGGGAGGGAGGGAGGGAGGGAGGGGAGGGGGAGGGAGGGAGGAGGAGGAGGAGGAGGAGGAGAGGATGAGGATGGAGGATGAGGATGAGGATGAGGAGGGAGGATGAGGATGAGGATGAGGATGAGGAGAGGATGATGAGGATGGAGGAGGATGAGGATGAGGATGGTGCTGCTGCTGTGCTGCTGCTGATGATGATGATGATGATGATGATGATGATGAGGAGGAGGAGGAGGAGGAGGAGGAGGAGGAGGAGGAGAGGAGGGGGAGGGGGAGGGGGAGGGGGAGGGGGAGGGGAGGGGAGGGAGGGAGGCCTCCTTCTCGATTCGACAGGCTTCGAGGATCGTGAATCGATGATCTCGGGCGTTGGGGACTTTCTGGGCCTCCCCGCCGCCGCGGCTGGATCCGCCTCCACATTCTGGTCCGAACGCACCCCTGGGGAGGTCCAGGGGCGGAGCCACCCTCGGAAATCCTTGAGATCTGGGCGTTGCCACTTCTTCACACCGGGCGCTGCATCCTGGCTTCGGGCTCCAGGAACACCACGGATCGATCCGGGTCGAAACACTGCAGGGCGCCTGGGGAGCTGGTCGAGTATCTGCACGATGGTGCAATGTCTTCGTGACCTCGAGGAGAGGGTTGGCCTTGGCCTCCTTGGGCGGCAAGGTCAAGCCTGGAGGATGAAAGATTGCCCATGAAGGTCAGAGTCAAGCCTGGAGGAGGAGGAGGAGGAGGAGGAGGAGGAGGAGGAGGAGGAGGAGGAGGAGGAGGAGGAGGAGGAGGAGGAGGAGGAGGAGGAGGAGAAGAAGAAAAAGAAGGATGAGGAGGCTCTGCAGGGGCGTCCTCGTGGCCTCGGCTGGATCCGCCTCGGACTCCTGGCTGGAGCGCATCTCTGGATGGACCAGGGGGCCGCCTTCTAGGCCCCTCAGGCCGAGGTCGGGGTCAGGCCTGGAGGAACGAGCCTGGAGTCTGGATGCCAAGGTCACGGCTGGAGGAGGTCATGCCGTGCACCGGCAACACGCTGCATCACTTTGGGCTGGTCTTCGCACGCGTGCTTCTCCAATCTTCACGCGTCCCCCCAGAATCCAATTATCCCAGTGCGACCCTACCTAGGAGTTGGAGCCCCTAGGAAAGCAGCATTAGTAGTAACAGGAAAGCTAAGCTAAAACTAAGCTAAAGCTAAGCTAAAGCTATACTAAAACTAAGGTACAACTAAACTAAAACTAAACTAAAGCTAAGCTAAAGCTAAGCTACAGCTAAGGTAAAGCTAAGGTACATCTAAGGTAAAGCTAAGCTAAAGCTAAGCTAAAGCTAAAGCTAAAGCTCCCAGGGGACTGGGGGAACCGCGGGGCGGATCCTGGGGGAACCGCCCGGGGCGGGGAGCACTGCCCGGCCCCTTTAAGCTTGCACGGTAAGAACCCTTCTGGGCAGAGCCTAGGTAACATTGGCTGCAAGGGTGAACGGAGCTCTGGCGATTTCCCAAGCAATCGACAACATGTTGCACCACCGAACTGTTTTCGCGACCCCGGACCATGACCAAAACCACACTGGGGGCGGGGGGCGAAAAACAAACGCAAATAAGAATCACGACGCCCAATGCCGCAAGTGCCAAGCTGTGAAATATTTTGTCAATGTGGCGTTAGGTCGGGCATTTCCTCCTACAGGCGGATTTTGGATGAACAATTTCCAAACACTAACTCAAACATGCTCAAACAATAATCGAATATAATCAAAACAGAACGTCCCTAATATATGTTTTTACTATTTCGGAATATTCCTCCTGTAGAGGGACATGCCGGACTTACAATATTCCTCCTGCGGAGGGACATGCTGGACTTACAGTGGATGCCAGTCCACAAGAAGCCTTCCACAAGAAACCCAACCCTGAGACCCCAGGACGTCCACTGCTCCTTGGTATGGGCACGTCACGCCTTCCACGGTAGCGCCGTCGAAACCCGGGCAGCCCTGGGCATCCTGGAGGCAAGCAAGGTGCTTCTCGGCGTGGGCCCCCCCGCTGCAGTCCTGGGCGAACCGAGACCGACGTGCCCAGACCCCCTCGCGCCGCGACGAGGACCTCGGCGGCACGTGTTCTCTGCTGCTCCTCGGGCCTCCGGAGGGCCCCCTCACCGCCCCCCCCCCCTGGGCTCGGGACCGCGAAGCCGACGCCTCGGGACGCAACGGCCCAGCCTGGGGAGGGGGTCTGGACCTCTGGGGTGGTCCACGCTGGGAGAGAATCACGGCGTCGGGGGTTCGGGCTCGAGGCTTCTGGAAGAACGGGCGAGGTTCGCAGTTTTTTTTGTTTGTTTGTGTTCTTTTGTGCTGGACGATCTTGGCGCTTCTGGGGCTGCCTGGGGAGGGTGGCAGGGCCGCCTCTGGCAACACCCGACCCCGACCCATCATACCCCTATCGCCGATGCTTATCTGCTTCCCAACCATCCTGTGGTGTTGGGTCTTCGTTTTGAAGAGACAGCGCCCCGCGTTCTTTTCTTCTCCTCTCTTCTCCTCCTCCACCTCCTCTTCCTCCTCCTCCTTCTCTTCCTCCTCCTCCTCCTCCTTCCCCTCCCTCTCCCCCTTCCTCCTCCCATCGGCATCACCATCACCATCACCATCACCATCACCATCACCATCACCATCACCATCACCATCACCATCACCATCACCATCACCATCACCATCACCATCACCCATCACCATCACCATCACCATCACCATCATCATCACATCATCATCATCATCATCATCATCATCATCATCATCATCATCATCATCATCATCATCATCATCATCATCATCATCATCATCATCATCATCATCATCATCATCATCATCATCATCATCATCATCATCAGCATCAGCATCATCAGCATCATCATCATCATCATCATCATCATCATCATCATCATCATCATCATCATCATCATCATCGTCATCGTCATCGTCATCGTCATCGTCATCATCATCCCCATGTCGGCACACCCCTCGCACGGTTCGTGGCCCGATAGCGAACTCCACCGACGGCCCCAGCGCCGCCCCATTTCTGCACACCCCTCACACGGTTCGTGGCCCCATCGGAAGCTCCACCGAAGGCCCCGGTGGCAGGGTCCGCATGGCACGGCCGCCCCATTTCGGCACACCCATCACATCGTGGCCCGATAGGGAGCTCCACCGAACGCACCAGTGGCAGGGTCCGCATGGCACCGCCGCACAATTTCGGTACACCCCTCGCACGGTTCGTGGCCCCATGGGGGGCTCCACCGAAAGCGGTACCCACAACGCGGTACTCACGACTGCGTATGGCTGGGTTCTTCGCCAGGATACTTTCATTTGTTTTGTTTTGAATCCGCGGCCCCAACACTCCTGAGACCGTTTCCCTTGGGGCAACTTTCCGTCCCGACTCCCTCTCTGATGGCCCCGGGGCTTTCGACCACGGGCCCGACCTCGCGCGACCGACGCCACCTGAAGCAACCGGCGGCGAAAACCCTGGGAGGGAAGTGATAAGGCGAAGGCCTTCTCAGAAGACTCGGAAGTCCTCAGCCTTTTGAGAAGCTTGCTGAGCCTTCCCCGAAGGCACGGCGAACTTCTCAGCAGGCGCGAAGGCTTCTGAGAAGCCCCGCCGCCTCCTGGGAGGGCCTTCTCCTTCTCACTTCCCCCTCGCTCGCCGCCGAAATGAGGTCGTCAGAGATTTGGGTCGAACAACTTTCCACGACGCC